TTAGCACAAAAGGTAGCTGCTACCGCTACGCTGCAATTTCCAAGCTTCCTGCCTTTTGTACAGTTCAGTACGAATGCATTGTTACTGCTAATTAAATTTACTTTTCATATCGGCAACACACGCCGAGCCACGCGAACTTGTTCGATCGACACTTTAAATGCCAATGAGTTCCTATATTTTTGATGAATTACATTTTTCCGATGATGTGTGTGTGTGCGTGTTACATTTAAACCGTCTTTTCAATTTACCATATCCCATGAATATTCTGGATGTACCATCTACAGCACACATGTAGAGCTATTATTATTAGCTGCCCTAACTTCTAAACTATACACCCTATGATTTCGTAATCCGTCTCCAAAAGCTGCAATAAGGAATTATAGTTCTTAACGTCAACAGAATAAGAATCACAAAGTAACTGCATTTCGCCCTCTTGGGGTGCTTGCCGCTCGGGCTATGATTACGTCATAATTTTGCCCCTTTTTTAGGGAACAGAGAAAGATATATCGCCTGTGTTGTTGTCTCGCTCTAGACAGAGAGTTCTTTGTTCAGGTTGTCGAGCGATGGATTAAAGTGCGTCACACATTTGATTTCTTGTATTGTATTGTATTGTATTGTATTGTATTGTAGTAATGCAGTGCTTTCATCATCGAGAGAGGCGGATTGTCAGTAGACTAGAGGCACCCTCACGTGACGCGAGGAGTCATTCAGAATATTGTCTCATGCGGATCCCATATAAATGCTGATATTACAGGCATTACTTCTACTTTTAAGGTGTACTTACTTCAGTGAGACCATAATACATACAATCATCACCCCTAACCTGCACTACCTTCATTATGCGTACTATTACGTGTCACACATAGGTTGGTGAAACCCAAGATGACGTTAAGTATCCTCTATCTTATTTAAGGGTTTCTTTCAATTTAGGACAGGTTGGTTAAAACGGCCATTAGTTAATAGTTGTCGTTTTTTGAAGATTGTCCTTGCGACTTGTTTCTATATTATTATTGTTAGTCCAGTTTTTATTAAATCTTTCTCGAAATCGAGATATTTAAAGAAAGATATCAATGAATCACACTTCATATGACGATAAAGACACTGTCTTTAGCCAATAGGCTAACGTAGGAATGGATCTATGAATCTACCTACATATTCCCAAACCGGTTTTCTAAACAACTAACATAACAATAGCCAAGATCACAACTCAAACAAGTACAATGTCGGAGGTCACAAGTTCGATACCCGAGCGCATCAAAGTGGTTTAGAAACAGTCCCTCTTATCTCGGGTCGATCAGTAATTGTTTCTGTGGTGAGATTAATAGCGTTGTGCTTCGACCCGGAAGAGAACGGGTATACCCGAGGTGGTCTTCTGGAAAATCAAAGCGATTAGCAGCAGAAGTGTCGACCTCACTGACAAGGAACTGTTCACTCCAATAAACTTGCGACTTCCACCCGCCAGCTAGTTGGTACTTCACTCGAGCTGGTCGCATAGTACAGGGACACCAAGTACCCCATGTATTGTATACTACATTCAAACTATCATAATATCTATAGTGGCGAAAATACTTATCTGAAATATCAGTTCTTATTCATTTTTTGAAAACAAAGTTATTGCGAATAGATAGTTATGTCCAGTGCGATGCGAACCACCCATCGCGTCGCGTCGCGTCGCCGTGGTGCCGCCGTGGTGCCGGCGTGTACCACTGAGCCCCACCAGTATCCTCGGCACGGAACCCAGTAGCCACCGAAAAAAACCTCCTAAAGGCTCATGTTACACGTGTTATCTCCAGAAATAGAAACGAGTAAACACTTAACCCATTTTTTACCAAGTTGGCTAAACATAAATCTTCACTTTTTTCCGCCTTTTTAGACCTCTGAACCGTACCTGCACATCAGAGCTCATGCATTTGAAAAGATTTATCAAACAAAATAAAACTCTTTTGCTTGAGATTAAATTCGTTTTTATAATGTAGATATACGTGCTTCACAAAATTGACATTGAATCCGATGCATTGAATTCGTAATGTTATATAATTGGACCTTATTGACGAGACCACAGGGTCTAAATTCATTTATTTCGAAGTATTTCTAACATCTCACAGAAATATAGACTGTATGTAGATGGGTTTACAGATGAATCTCCCTCGCTAAAGGGGCAGTGTGGCAGGGCTGGTAGAGCTAGTGTCTCGGGTTGCTATGCAAAGGTTGATGCGTTCCACTTGCGGCTGACACTGCGACCTCCTTGTACACACAATACATGTGATAGAGAAAGTGTATGTTAAATACACAAACATACACAGGTATCTGCTTTGTATTATCGCTCAGGGATCACGATTAGAATAGAACAAAGTTTTGTCTTAGGGTTACTAGTTAGGAACGAATAGTAGACTAAATGAAGAAGTCCTCTACGTGGGACGAAATACGTAGTAACCTACATTTTTTTTATGGCATTAGCCGGTAAACGAGCAGACGGATCACCTGATGGTAAGCAATCGGCGTCGCCCATGAACACCTGGAACATCAGAGGCGTTACAAGTGCGTTACCGACCTTTTGGGGATTAGAAGTTTGAGGATCGTTGGGGTTTCAGGGATTGGGGAGATTGGGGAAGGGGAGGGTAATTGGGCCTCCGGTAACCTCACTCACACGACGAAACACAACGCAAGTGTTGCTTCACGTCGGTTTTCTGTGAGGCCGTGGTATTACTCCGGTCGAGCCGATCCATTCGTGCCGAAGCATGGCTCTACCACACTTATTTTACAGGGCCTGCTCATTTTATCTAGGCAAAAAGTAGCCGATATTCCAATGATATGCTAATCCAGACCAATCTACTAATTTTCGTGGCTTGAATTGACATGGCTTAGTAAAAATATACATTCATCCGAAAATAGAAGTTCAAAAGATACACAATTATAAATGAGTCGAAGTCAGACGGCTAACGGCTAGTCATGTTGCAGTGCTGGGTGCTCGCTGAAACTTTGATCGCTTCAGGAATGAATCAGTAATTGTAGTAGATTATTTAGATGATCTCCAATAGTCTCCAGCAGTCGCTAACAGTCTCCAGTAGTACGTAGCGGAGTGCATCGCCGCGCCGCTGCGAAGTTACATCAGTGAGCGAGGAGCGATGGAAGCAAATGACATGACAGCCGGGGGCGCAGCACAGCCCTGATTAAAACACACACTCACACACACACACACATTGTTGCTGACTTGTGTCACGAGCTGGTGACGTCATGTAATATAACCTGCGCCCCATCCAACTAGAAACTAGTTTTATTATAATTGATTAAATCGAGATACTGGTCCACAAATCCCCACTGGTACACTGTGACAGTAATAAGTAAATCGTTTTTTGTTAGGTATAATATAAGAGATTCTACTGCCTGCCTCGTTCGAGTGGTCACAGGTGCGACTGCCGGGCAAGGGGTCTTGGGTTCGATTTCAAATGTCAGTAGTAGCACGGAGTCTGGAAATGTGCCCGGTAAATGGCAATAGGCTCACCCCCAATTACATCATGAGACCCATAAAATAAATAGTGAAAAGTGGGTGTTACATTGTAAAGTGGTATTAAGTGACGTAATGTGCACCTCTACCTACCCCTTTGGAGATAAAAGGCGTTATGTTATGTAATTAGAGAGTCTATTAATCTCTAATTAAAATCCATTGGATAATTATCATGCCTACAGACTTTGCTGGTATGTAGGTTCAAGCTTTGTTCAGGAAATCCTTACTGAGGTACTTCCTCAGTAGAGTCACAAATCTATGGCGAGTAGTTACTGAGGACCTGCAACAATTGGAAAAAGAAACAGCAGCTGAGGGGAAATGAAAGAAACAATATAATGTTGTATGTAATAGAATTTAGGTGAATGTTAACAGTGGAGATATTCTTTTGTTCGTTGTTTGCTACGTCCCCCCCCCCCCCCCCGTGATCCTCCCGGAGAGTGCTTCGTAAATCCTAACTGTACTTGTTTGTCTTGCTAAGGACAACTTAACGAAAACTTTGAACCAATAACATTTGCATAAAAACAGCTTAAAACTGCTCAACAATGGAGTTTGGGAGCCGGATTTGTGTTTTGATACGACTGGGGTAGCAGCGGCCAGGACGGGCGCGGGTGTCCGTGCTACATGGCCGTATTATTCAATTGTTGCTAGATAATACAATCCAATAGCAATAGTCCATCACTGCATCAATGTATTAGGATTTGGAGAAACATTACGTACATACATTTAATTTACTTCTTTTGTATACTGTGTCTCGGTCTCATATTTTCTTTTCCTGCCACAGGCTCACAGCAAGAAATTCCAGTTGGAATATATTGAAAGAAAGAAAGAAAAGAAAGAAAGAAAGAAAGAAACCTATTGGACCTCTGTAAGTACTTCGGTGCTTTGTGTTGTATGTGTATATATGAATAATAATAAATAAATATTTTTATGGTATCACGCGTGTTCTGTGGTTTCCTTCAGTGTTGATACTTTACATAATTTTGAATACAAACTAATATCCGGTTCCTATGTAAACAGAGCAGTGCTTCTGGTGTGACGGGAACAGACATACAAACATTGTGTACTGTGATTACGTAGCGACCTGCCTACCCCGCCCCGGTAATGTGGTTCTAAGTAACGAGGGGACTTTGGACGGATTATATTTAATGAGTTGTCTTACCCCCAGCTTTACAGTAGCGTGACGATATTCTACTTCTCCAAGATAATATCTCTGTTCTACCTCTCTGACACTCCTCACTCCTCCAGAGAGCGCTCTCCCAGTATTTTGATCCACATTAGTACTTGTGTGTTATGTTGTTAACTATCAGTTTGTATAGGCGCCTTTTGAATGTTTCCCCCGTCATCAAAAAAAGATATTCTAGTAACAAATAGATGCGTATGTACATACATCTAGGATACAAACAGGACACGAAGGTGTTTCTGAAAGGTATATATAGGTTTACCCAGTGAGATACTAAGTGATTACCCGATTGTTAGTTATTTACAACACCTTCAGTTACGAGTCACTACCGATATACTTATACTTTAGGTATACAAGGTTTATTTCGGGGAAAAGTTTCGAGAACAAAGTACATAAAGACAGAGACTGTTTACAATGAATTGATTTATAAATAGCTAGCAGCCAGGCATAGCCTGTAGGTAGTAGGTATACTTGGAGCGTGGAGTTACCTTGGTGTCTCCTCTGCGAGCGGGGGTGCGGGGGTGCGGGGCGAGGGCGCGCGGCGCGGGGCGAGCGGGGCGCGGGCGCGGGTCGATACGGTGCACGGTGTACGGCCGAGCCTCGAGCCGGAGCCTCATGGCAACAGTGCGCTCGGGAACTAACCACGCCACCCTGAACACCTACACCACTACACTTCGCATTCAACATCGATCCACCTTAACACCAACTTTTAACTTAACTTAGGTACCTAATTCCCAAACCTAGTTCATGAAACATTTTATCGACCTTGGATGTCGTAGTCTTGTGTTTCAGTCATTGTATCATTTTTGTCCAGATCCTGAACTTCACGCAGCTTCCTGAAAGTATTACATTGTGAACAACTTCAGGTGTCCCACACTCACCTACAATGTCACCCAACCCCAACACTCTGTTACTACAATTCTACATAATATGTAGGTACGAACAATAGTAAAGAGCATCTAGCTGTTCTTTATACTATGATCTAGCTACCGAACTAAATAACTAAATGAATCCTTGAGTCAGTAAGATTATTTATCAGTAGAAGTAAATTGAAAGTGCGCATCGGTAATGTGTGTGTGTGTGTGTGTGTGGAAAGTTTCACCCAATTAATATCGAATATTATCGAATTGATAACGATAATGCTATCTGATACTGTATCAGGGTCTGAAATAGACGGCTTATGTAATAACATATAATGTTTATATTTAGGTCACTTGCTACGTACTACTGAATGATATATGTATGTTATAAAACATACATGTACTGGACAAAATACCAATACTTACAAAACTCTTCGGTCTTATGTAGTATCTAGAATAAGATATATGGATAGATGGTTGAGTGTCTGTTTGTCTAAAACTGCGTCCTGTACTTTACGTGTAAAGGTCACTAACGCATGCCAAAACAATAAAATATAGTTGACACAAGATTGAAGGCACTATGTCTGAATCAATATACATTTGCTGACGCCTGGCGTGCTACTCTTTGTTTCACTCACTGGAATAAGTTCACGTTAGTTGTTAACACATCATGGTATTTGTTTAGACTAGATAGGTCGATGGCCACCGTCAGTATTTGTAGCTATGTATCTGTGGAGACTCTGACTTAGTACTGTCGGGTGCTGAGTAAAACCTTTCGCGTCGGTGACTGCGTTAGTGTTCCCGGAGAATTGAGAAGTATAATATTGAGTGTCGGGTCTCGGCCTTCGTAAAATGTCAATGTAGCGCTACGTTTTAGCGCAAGTGATGAATCGGCAACCTTTCGGCCTCTTTGTGTCAGCGGCAGGCAGGGGTGCACTATACCAATACACTTCACAAATATATTGTTACACAATACTCGTCCTTCGTGCTTTGTAGTGCCGAGTGATGGCTCCCCCCTCCCCCCTAGCTGGGGGTGGCGGTACATCAACAAGGGGATTATGTCACGAGAATTAAATTAGCGCCGCAATCCTTTCTTGACACTCCGAAGACACTCCATTAGGAATAATGCTCCCATTACAAGTTTCCCGCGAATAGAGTTAACATCACGGCGGAACATAAAGTTAGATGTGTATGATTGCTGGTCTCATTAAATACACAAAGGCCATACATCTTCACAACCCCATCAACATAATTAACCTTAAAATATCGCACGACGTTCCTTTTTCAGTTACGTAAAATTTAGCGGTCCCTTCGACCGGAGAGGTCAGCGCCGGCTTTTGTTACCGCCGGGGGCGATAAATTCGCCTGGTCAATAGTACCCCGTACCTGCCGCCGACGTTAATGTTGCCAGATAGCTGCTTTGTACGGTTACAAGCCATACTTCGGGATATCGGGACGTGGGATGCTATTGATTGCCCGGGTTTGATTTCCGGTTCTGTGTAGTAAATATTTCTTCCTAATGTTTTAGTTTATGTTGTTTGTTGTTGTTATAGAACCTGCCTACAATAGGTAGGTAGGTAGAACTTTGTTTAACTTTAGGTCAAAAACTTCAGCACTTTTATATGAATTGAACAGATTTTATTGTAATCCTTGTGAATGAGAATTAGTGGCAGATACATACCATAGTGACCATACTGTGTGACGTACCGTCCTCACACTATCCGGTGTATACATTTGTGTAGATAGGTACTGGTCCACCCACGCGTCGTCGCACGCGCAGCTGCAGGTGTCTCAGAGTGTGAGTAGATCGGTATCTATCGACTGCTAGCACAGGATGGACACGCTCACACCTCGGACCCGTGTCGAACTTACAGGAGGTTTAATCAATAACAGACATACCTAATTCTTAATAGCAATTATAAAAAATCTTAAAAATCTGTTCTCTCTCTTTCTGTCTCTGGAGCCCTAACCACCGGTAGCTTGGACCATGTTCCCGCTACTGATCGGTATATACATATATATATATACAACATGTAACGTAATTAACGCACACCCTCAAACACCACAATTAGAATATTATGTTATAATCATAATACATACACTAAATTTTTAATTTAACATGTATGCATCCTTACTGGTCTTGTCATAAGATTTATTTTTCTTTATTTTGTATTGAATGATAGAATTTGTATGAATACAAATAAAACTGCGATTTTAAAAGTCTTATTGCTTTGACTTACGGTCCATTTCGATTTGTTTTAACAATACAGGGTTAATATGACAATAATTTCCGTAGTTTTAATTATTTTTGGGATAAAAAATTACCTATACTAAAAATTATATAAACCGATTCAGTTAACGATTCTGAACAAACTATTTTCAGGATGCGCGTTATTTAAGTTACATGTTGTATATTGTTTTTTTAAGTAGTATGTACTTACAATAAAAGTATACAAATTTTTACTTTAATTAAACCGAAATATGAAATTAATTAAACGTCGCTTCTTAGTGTGTTCTGTAGTGTGAAGTAAAGAACCTCTTTGTTTAAACCCTAATATTTACTATCAGTGGACAATAAGCGAGGGTTCAATAAGTCCACAATTAGTGCGACAGAGCGTGTCGTATCCAAAAATAAGTTATTGGACCGTTCATATATCTAAAGTTTACATCAAAATAAATTAAGTTGCCTTTGTTGCCATGCGATCCTGTGCGATTGTCGAAAATCATTATCTTTCCACGGGCCGCCGAGCAATTTGAATTTTCAAAAGAGTGACCCCAACAATTGGAACGCAAAGTGCACTAATTCGAATCGAACCCCAGTTAGGGGCAGCCGGCAGGACAGTCGCGGCACTATACTCGCCTATATGTAACTATGTACCTCACTATACTAAGTATACCTACCTAAGTATATCGTAATTATTTTGCAATAACATTGTATGTACATGAAACCAAACATTTTAGTTTGACGTGCTTTGTCTACCCTGTAAGTTCATTTACTGACTGAAGTAAAACAACGAATAGTTACTTACTATAAAATCCTCTGGATAGTATATTACAAATGTTTTAAATCGTCTGCCCTCGTACACTGCCGTTGTTGATAAACATGGTTTGCAGCACTAATGTCGTATAATAAACATAATTATGTCAATAGATTCTAGATTCTAAAAATGTACATATGTACAAGTAAATCAATACAAACCTAAGTAGGTGCAGCTATGTGTGGTACGTACAGCGCGCAGCGTGGCTCTGCTCGAACTAAGTGGCGCCATTATAGTGCTTCAATAACAAAGGGCTCCAATATCCCGTCTCCCCGTAATGGTAAAAAATTAAACCATTTTCGTAGTCCACTGGCCGGCCGGACTAACGAGCTCTCCTTTTAATGAATTTATTACTATTGACGTTTATCTAGTGACTGGGAACTAGGGGAATATTATACTGCGACCTGTACCAAATGTATTATGAATGACTTTGTTTTTGTTAGCTTTTATTGTAGGTACCGGTATGTTCGTATGTAGATTCTTGAAGTTGGTAAATGAAACAATCAAAACGAACAGTGAGTGAGGTTAGGCACTGGAGGCCTAGTACTCTCCTCCATCCCCAAATACCAAAACTTAAATTCCTTGCATGATAAAACAGAATGTGATAATAACCAGAAACGTCGCCATTTCGCACTTTTTTCAAGAAGACAAGTTAGTGGCACTGGTTAGTTACAAACAGATCATTTTCGGGAGTAAACAATTGTTTGTCACGGACTCACGGTGTCGCTACTTATACCTCGCTAGTCACTGTCGTAGCGACACAAACAACATGTTTATCACAATGATAACACAAATGCCGCACAAACAACTGAAAAAGTCACGAAAACATCAAGTGGTTGTACCATCGTCTGGTATAGTGCTATCTGCTACTGTTTCTGATTGTACTTACGTACAGAGAGTTGCACTAAAATATATCTGAAACTTTCATGGTTAGATATGTACTGGAGAGAGGAGTGCAGGGAATACAGCTAAAATGCATGAAAACATGAAACGATTAAATAACATTAGTATATGTTTGTGATGGTGACTCACAATGATTACAACAGAAACATTAAAATCGTGTAAAGTATGTAACAACATGATAATTAATGGATTCCAGCGGTGACACGAGGACTGCACGTTCGTCTGTCAAGCCTGTTGTTTATAATACCTTTATTTTTAGAACATTTTTGCTCATAGATAAAGACAAAAGACTGGCCACTGTGTGCCGTGTGGCGTAGGTCCTGTTCGCATATACATATGACGTTAGCTAAAACACTTCGTTAGAATATCTATAGATATTCTTGTGTATGGCCGGACTGCATACAAAAGCGTGTATTGTGTAACAGGTATATATAAATATATATCCATAGTAGGTAGGTAGACGTAATGGTGGCGCCAGTCTACCCTGCCCGCATCTCCTGGTGTCCTCATTGCCAGCCCTAAGTGATCAGGCGACACCGTGTCGCTACTCTCACGACAATATCCCCTAATGCCATATACATTGCCGCTATTGTTTTGCACTAAACCATGAACACGGTGAGGTACCAGATAATGGATGCTTCGACAGCGGGACAATGAACGTCGTGTTAAAAAGTCAATCAAGAACAAAATGGAAGTTACAGTGTTTGTTGTTGTGTTGCTTGTGTGGAAGCTTCAATAGTGGCGCTTTTGAGTTATTTCATTAACTCTAAGACATTATACCTATCTGTGTTCTGGGAGCGTTGTTATTGTAAATGTATTAATGTACCTAAATTCTTATAGGTAGGTAGGTACATACTATTATCTACCCGATAATGGATTGTGTGAT